AAGTGTGACACTGAGGCAGTGACTGTCCACACAGTCTGTGTAATATGGAATATATTCTGGACACTGTAGTGGCTGATTATTAAAGATGTTAATCCTGATTCCTCTCCCATCCCTCCTCTGGGAGCTTTATTGACACACACCGCCTACGGCCGTGCGGGCGGCTGGAGAGCCCCGGCCCTCAGTCACTGCTAAACTGCTGTAAGCTACCACAACTAATTCATTTTCTCTAACAGTCTCTCTCTCTCTGTCTGTCAGTCTCCCTCGGTTTATATATTTCCGACGCTCTATTTCTGTCTCTCTCTTTCATTGTCTCTCTTAGTTTCCGTCTCTCTCTCTATGTATCTCTGTACATCAACCGTCAGTGATTGCGTGTGAGATAGTGAGAGAGAACAGTCAGTGTGTGTATCTGAGAGAAGAGTTAGGGAGCAGTCAGTGTGTTTGCGGGAGAGGGAAAGAGCAGTCAAAGTGTGTGTGTGTCAGAGAGAAGAGTTATATTGTGTGAGCGAGAATGAGAGCAGTGAGTTGGTGAGAGAGCAGTCAGTGTGTGTGTGAGTGAGACCAGTCAGTGTGTGTGTGAGAGAGACCAGTCAGTGTGTGTGTGTGTGTGACAGCAGTCAGTGTGTGAGCATTCAGTGTGTGTGAGCAGTCAGTGTGTGGGTGTCTGAGAGCAGTCAATGTGTGCGTGCTTGTGTGAGACAACAGTCAGTGTGTGTGTGTGTGTAGAACGCAGGCAGTGTGTGTGTGTGAGAGCAGTCAGTGTGTGAGAGAGCAGTCAGTGTGTTAGACAGCAGTCAGTGTGTGTGTGCGAGAGAGAGCAGTCAGTGTGTCTCGTGTAAGAGAGCAGTCAGTGTGTCTGTCGAGTAAGAGAGCCGTCAGTATGTGTTGTGAGAGAGCAGTCAGTGTGTGTGTGAGAGTGCAGTCAGTGAGTGTGTGAGAGAGCAGTCAGTGTGTGTGTGAGAGAGCCGCCAGTGTGTGTATCTGAGAGAAGAGATAGGGAGCAGTCAGTGTGTATGTGTGAGAGAACAGTCAGTGTGTGTGTGTCTGAGAGCAGTCAATGCGTGTGTGTGTGTGTGTGAGAGAGAGCAGTCAGTGTGTGTATTTGTGTGAGCAGTCAGTGTGTGTGTCTGAGAGCAGTCAGTGTGTGTGACAGAGCACATTCAGTGTGTGTGAGAGAGTAGTCAGTGTGTGTGTTTGTAAGGGAGCAGTCAGTGTGTGTTTGAGAGAGCAATCAGTTTGTGTGTGAGAGAGAGCAGTCTGTGTGTGTGAGAGAGAGAGCAGTCAGTGTGTGTGTGTGTGAGAGCAGTCAGTGTGTTTGTGTGTGAGCAGTCAGTTTGTGTGTGTGTGAGCAGTCATTCTGTGTTTGTGAGAGAGCAGTTCAGTTTATGTGTGTGTCTGAGAGCAGTCAGTGTGTGTTGTGAGAGTGCAGACAGCGTGTGTGTGAGAGAGCAGTCAGTGGTGTGTGAAAGATAGCAGTCAGTGTGTGTGAGAGAGCAGTCAGTGTGTATCTGAGAGAAGAGTTAGGGAGCAGTCAGTGTGAGTCTGCGAGCAGTCAGTGTGTTTTATGAGAGAGAGGTCAGTTTGAGTGTTTGTGAGAGAGAGCAGTCCGTGTGTGTGTTTGTGTGTGTGAGAAAGAAGTCAGTGTGTGTGTGAGAGAGCAGTCTGTGTGTGCGTGTGTGAGAGAGCAGTCAGTGTATTTGTGTGTGTGAGAGAGACAGCAGTCAGTGTGTGTATGTGTGTGAGCAGTCAGTGTGTGTATGTGTGTGAGCAGTCAGTGTGTGTTTGTGTGGGCAGTCAATGTGGGTGTGAAAGAGCAGTCAGTGTGTGTGTGAGAGATAGCAGTCAGTGTGTGTGTGACAGAGCAGTCAGTGTCTGTGTGAGAGAGTGCAGTCAGTGTGTGTTTTGTGAGAGAGCAGTCAGTTGGTGTGTGTGCGTGAGAGAGCAGTCAATGTGTGTGTGTGTGAGAGAGAGCATTCGGTGTGCCAGAGAGCAGTCAGTGTGTGAGAGTGCAGTCAGTGTATGTGTGTGTGTGAGAGAGAGAGAGCAGTCAGTGTGTGTTTGTGAGAGAGCAGTCAGTTTGTGTGTGTCTGAGAGAATTCAATGTGCGTGTGTGTGAGAGAGATAGGTCAGTGTGAGAGAGCAGTCAGTGTTTGTGAGAGAGCAGTCAGTTTGTGTGTGTCTGAGAGCAGTCAATGTATGTGTGTGTGTGAGTGAGAGAGCGTGAGAGCAGTCAGTGTGTGTTGTGAGAGTGCAGTCAGTGTGTGTTTGTAAGAGAGCAGTCAGTGTGTGTGAGAGAGCAGTCAGTGTGTGTGTGTGTGTGAGAGAGAGAGCAGTCAGTGTGTGTGTGTGTGTGAGAGAGAGAGCAGTCAGTGTGTGTGTGTGTGTGTGAGAGAGAGCAGTCAGTGTTTGTGTGTGTGAGAGCAGTCAGTGTGTGAGTTTGTAACAGAGCTGTCAGTGTGTGTTTGAGAGAGCAGTCAGTGTGTGTGTGTGTGTGTGTGTGAGAAGTCAGCTTGTGTGTGAGAGAGCAGTCAGTGTGTGTGTGTGTGTGTGTGAGAGAGAGCAGTCAGTGTGTGAATGTGTGTGAGAGCAGTCAGTGTGTGTGTGTGTGTGTGGGAGCAGTCAGTGTGTAAGTATGTCTGTTTGTGTGTCTGTGTGTGTGTGGGGGGGGGAGTGTTAAAATAGTTTGTGTGTTTGCTCAGCCAAGTGGTTAAAAAAAACGCGCTCCGGTGAGTGCTCGGGGAGAGGGTGGAAAGTGTTCGTGCCTTCAACCTGACGCCTCTGCTGCCTCTTCTATCTGCCTCCACTGCCTCTACTGCCTCCCTCTTCTGCCTCCCTCTACTGCCTGCCTCTACTGCCTGCCTCTACTGCCTCCCTCTACTGCCTGCCTCTACTGCCTCCCTGTACTGCCTGCCTCGACTGCCTCCTTCTACTGCCTGCCTCTACTGCCTCCCTCTACTGCGTGCCTCTGCTGCCTCTACAGCCTCTACTACCTGTCTCTGTTTACTTACTTGCAGCAGCACAAGAGTCACCTCCTACACCAACACACCCCACTCCCCCCCGCCCCCACCTTCTCCCTTCTCTTTCCTTTTAAAAATACCTAAATATTTCTTTTAGGAGGAAGAATGTGGGGGGGAATCAGTGCCTGCGATGATTAGAATAAAATACCCCACACATCCACACACACACACATCCATCATCGCTTTAAATAATAATAATAATTAACAATAATAATAAATATTAGTATGATAATTTAATGATACTAATACAACAATAAAATAATATTAATACTCCTTGCATTTGGCACAGCAACGCCTTGTCACATCTTCCAGGTATCTCGCCGGGATTCACAAGATAGACTGTGAGGTGTAGTGACTGTGTATTTTCTGGGCGAAACGCGGCACCCATTGCACACAACAGTGAGCGTCCGTCACACAAACAGTCGTGGATTGAAGTGGCCGATTTACTTTTAATTTTGGAAGGGACTATTATCAGCGTCTCTGTGTGTGTGTCTGTCTGTGTGTGTCTGTCTGTGCGTGTGTCTGTCTGTCTGTGTTTGTGTGTTTCTGTATGTGTGTGTGTCTGTCTGTCTGTCTGTCTGTGCGACTGTCTGTCTGTCTGTCTGCCTGTCTGTGTGTGTGTGTGTCTGTCTGTCTGTCTGTCTGTGTGTGTTTGTCTGTCTGTTGTGTCTGTGTATGTGTGTCTGTCTGTTGTGTATGTGTGTGTGTGACTGTGCGTGTGTCTGTTTGTGTGTGTGTGTGTGCGTGTCTGTATGTGTGTCTGTGTATGTGTGTCTGTCTGTGTGTGTCTGTGTATGTGTCTGTGTGTGCGTATCTGTGTCTGTGTCTGTCTGTCTGTTTGTCTGTGTGTGTATGTGTCTGTCTGTGTGTGTCTGTCTGTGTGTGTTTCTGTGTGTGTGTGTGTGTCTGTCTGTGTGTGTCTGTCTGTATGTGTGTCTGTGTGTGTGACTGTGTGTGTGTGTGTGTCTGTCTGTCTGTCTGTATCTGTCTGTGTGTGCGTATGTGTGTGTCTGTGTGTGTGTATGTGTGTGTGTCTGTTTGTGTGTTTCTGTGTGTGTCTGTCTGTCTGTGTGTGTGACTGTGTGTGTGTGTGTGTCTGTCTGTATCTGTCTGTGTGTGCGTATGTGTCTGTGTGTGTGTGTGTCTGTGTGTGGGTCTGTGTGTGTGCGTGTATCTGTCTGTGTTTGTGTGTCTGTGTGTGTCTGTGTGTGTGTGTCTGTCTGTGTGTGTCTGTCTGTGTGTGTCTGTCTGTCTGTGTTTGTGTGTGTCTGTGTGTGTGTCTGTCGGTCGGTGAGTGTCTCTGTATGTATCAGTGTGTGTGAACTTGAGAGAGTGTGAGGGAGAAGGTTAGTGTTGGTGACACTCACTCTCTCTCACAATCTCTCTCATTTTCTCTCTCTCAAACTCTCTCTCTCACGCACACTCTCTCCCTCACACTCTCTCATTTTCTCTCTCTCTCACTCTCATACTCTCTCTCTCACACTCTCTCACTCTCTGTCACCAACACTGACCGTCGTCTCCGCCGCAATCACAACCTCCTGCGGTTCCACAATGCTGCCTTGTCATCCCCCCCTGTCACCATCCACACACACACACACAGTGACAGACACACACACACACACACACACACAGTGACAGACACACACACACACACACACACGACAGACACACACACAGACCCACAGACAGACATCAGCTCAGAGCCCAGACAGGTATAGGAACATATTATCTGTTAACGTGACACAATATCGCACTACATCTGCGGACACCGCGTTGCGTTTTGCACAAAACGCTGATACTTCCACTTATTGTTTCACTGCGGAGAGATTTGACAAACGGTTAAATATTTGAGGCAAACGGTCAGCGACTTGTCCAACCGGTTCCATTTATGTTTTTCCAAGAAGCGCCGCTCCCTATAGTCAGAATCAAATGTCAGGAGTGTCTCAGACGGAATGCGGCTCAGGGGCTGAACCTGTCTGTCACACAGGTGTGAGCGTCTCTCACAAACCTTCCCATAACCAGCCATTGGGCACATTACCAGCAGGTTGGTGCTGGTGGGTGGGAGAGATCACCGAGTGCTGCTGATTGGGGACCAGGAGAGAACTAGTTGAAGGAGCTGGTGGTTTCCAGTCACTGGGGAGCAGCTCAGCGCGTCCCTGTGATCACTGGTGAGCAAATATCTGCAAAAATCTTCAGTTCTTCCTCTTCTCCATCTGATAATCTGTAAAAATGTTTCTCAATTTGGTGTCTGATGTTATGCGTCTTCTCCAGGCAGAGTGGACAGGGGAGTGGGGGCGCCTCATTCAAACGCCCTCCGTGGGGGTGAGGGGAGTGAGTGGGCGGGTTATCCGAAGGGCTGAACCGGCTCCGAGGTGGAAAGGTTTGGCTGCAGGTTATCGGAATCGAGCCGTCCTCCCGTAACCGACTCTGCTCTGTTTCCTGAGCCGGTCGGGTCCGTGGTATTCCAGGGCACTGCTGATAGCAGCACAGCCCAGTCCGGCTCATCGACAGCACCCGAAGGGCAGACCAGACACTGGGGCAGATATCCTCCTAGTCGGCTTCTGTAAAAAAAAGTCCTAACTTGTACGGTGTTCCCAGCTGGAAAAGACATAGGAAAGCTCGCCGGGCAGCAATATCAATTGCGAGCCATGGGGTTTTCGCTGATTAGATTCCAGCAGTTACTCCAACGCATTCTCTCGGGTGCCCAAACTTTGGCTCTTGCCATTCCTTGCCTTTACTCTCCGGAACAGAGTGATTAGGATGGAATTCAAGATCCTCATCCTCACCTACAAGGCCATTCACGGCCTCGCTCCCTCCTACCTCTCCGACCTACTATCCCCCTACTTACCTGCCCGTACCCTCCGTTCCTCTGGCTCCGGTCTGCTCCACATCCCCCGCCCCAACCGCCCTACCATCGGTGGCCGGGCCTTCAGCTCCCCTCTCGACTCTCTACAGCCTCCTCGCTCCCTCTCTTCCTTCCCCTCACCCTGAACATTTCCCCCCCTCCTCGCTCCTTCCTTCCCCTCACCCTGACTATTTCCCCCAATGCTCGGGTCCCGACCCAACTGTCCAGCGCCTTGGGACATCATCCCGACGTGAAAGGCGCTCTATAAATGAGATCTTGTATCTTGTTGTGGGATGCATCACTCCAGCGGGAGTGAGAGTGCACATTCCATTAGAACAATCTCTCTCTGGAAATTCTCTGTGTAGGTGGGATGCAGAAAATTCCCAATTATGGTTTGGAGACTTATGCTTTGTGCTGGATTTCCCTCTGTGAAAGTTTTATCACAGCCATATTACGATATATAAAACTCTTCCGCTAAGATCCTGATATGGAGAAGCAGAGCTTGAACCTGCAAATTTACTAATCCTCGCGTTTGTTATAGCGACTCATCGTATGTTCAAGACGTCTCCAAGCGCTTCAACGGATGCACTGTAAAGTACCGTGACTGTGTGAGCCACACGCAAGTCCCTGACGAGAGAGAGAGATTGGACTGATTCCTTCTCCATAGTCCCAGAACAATAAGGCTGATCGCCTCTCCTCCACCACCTGAGGGTTCCTTGTCTGAAAGCATCATTGCCGTGTGTCAAATTCTCCCAATCCCAACCCCTAACTAATCACACTGTCGACTCTCACCCAAATTAGCACCACTCCGCCCGCTCTTACCCCAACTCGTCCCACTACATCAATCTAACCCCAACGGATCCCATTCCCAGACATTTGCCCCAGCTAGTACCACTCACTTACCTAACTGGGGGGTCTTACTCTAACTCACCACGTTTATCGCTACTCTTCCCCCCCAACCCCCCCCATCCCTCTGAGCTTAGTGTGTCCCATTGCCCCGCTATTAAGATGGTGACTGAAGGTCAAAGGAGACAAAGAGGGAATGAGGCGAAGGCAATGTGAGGCGCAGTTCCAGAGGTGGGAGCAGNAAAAAACAAAACATAGATTTCTTATTTCTTTGATTATCGGTAGATTGCTCTAAAGCTCAACAGCTCTGTCAGTAAACACGAAACAGAATGACTTGTCTGACTGGTTGGGGATGTATTTCTGAGAATCGCCGCTCTCTGTGGTGAGAGTCAAATTTTAGGAATGTTTGAGATCATAAACAGCCCGAGAGCTGCCGCTTGTCTGTACAGCAGAAGGGAACTCACAGGAGGGAATAAAATATAAAACAAAGCAACAGAACTAACAGCAGAAGACAGAAAATTAACCCACAGTTTTTCTGATGCGTTGTATGTTGCGGTAGTGAACACTTATATCAGATTTTGATTCCTCTATCGCCTGGCGACCAGGTGTTTGCTCATGTGTCAAGTACAGCTCAACAGGTAAAGTGTGAGCAGATTCATGTTGGAATACATGACCACATCACCATACTTTATTGAATATTTATAATCGCTGTTGCTGAAACAATCTTAATACTATTGCAGTTTTAAAATCCGCATCAGCAAATCATACAGGTAGGGACTTGTCAGATGGTTGGAGTTGATTTAGCGAGAAGCGCCGCTCCCTTTAGAGTCAGGTTTCAGGAAGGGGGGTGCGTTGTGGGGGAGGTTAAGTGGAAACTCGTTGAAGCTAAATTCACTAAAGTCGCAACAACAACAACTTGGATTTATATAGCGCCCTGCGCGCCGGACGGCGTCTCAGAGCGCTTCACAGTAACAGATCCCGGGGCCACGTCATTTCGCATCCCAAATATGGTAAAATAGGAATTTCATGCATAGACTAAGGACTTTACCCTGTTTTCAAACTGCAGTTCCTGCACTTCCCTGGAGATTGTACAGTGCTCCCTGGGGCTGGAGGACAAACTCAGTCCTGATCCCTGGACCAGAAACAAATCCCTGGATACCGAGTGTCTGCTTGTCTGAACAACTCGTGTCATTTCGTGGATCTCCCAGGTAGTTGGGGAGGCAAAACATGATCTAACTTCAGGTTTAAATTGCAAACCAGCTTCAAGTGTGAAATGCTTCCCTTGCTGACAGTTGGTATACAAATGCAATTGGTGCAATATACAGGGAAATTCACTTCACAGTGTAGGGTTTTGAGACGACTCGCAGACACGATAAGTCGCTGAATCAAATGTAAGGACTGCTATCTTATTATTTATTATTAACTTTCTCTCCACTGCAAAATTGGCAATAATGCAGAGCAGCGCTTACAGCTCTGGGTATTTTTGGTCAAGGGGAATCCGTCGCCCCTCAGGGCTTCAGCTCCACCGTTTCTGTCGCAAATAACGAGAAGATGGGATTTCCTCCCCACATTCATATCCTCCAAACAGGACATGTTCATCACCTCCCTTTTGTTGAATACACTATTTCTCGCTATCTCCCAAGATTCTCAGCCTCGTCTGCAAATCCCTTCTCATCCGACGCCTTCCCTAAATCTGGGAGTAACTCCTGTGCCTCTCTCTCTCCTGATCTTCCCTGCACTCGGGCATCTAAACATCAGGTCCATCTGTAATAACGACCTGGCATTAAGTCCAGGAGGTGAGAGTATGGTATACATTAACAGCCAATGTTTACATTGAATGTAATGAGTGATTTTACTCAAATATCCTGAACTATTAAAATCTCAAATAATTCAGAAACCTGCTATAAGATAGCAGAAGATCTACAACGAGAGGAAAGTGAACAGAGTGTTTACACTGAAGTCTTTTTGCAGTGTGGTAAATTTGTACAACTGTTGTCTGTCCGTGGGACTGTTTGGTGGAGAATGCTGACATGGTTCACAATTAAAATCTGGAAACACCCGTCACTTTACAACCTTACAACCTATCCCCCAAATGTACCGCCCTAACCATTAGAAATCAGGATTGAGGAATATAACAAGGGATTCCTGACACTGGGAAATGAAGAAAAATAAGGCATCGATAACTGCAGTGCATTGTTCAATGGTAGTGAGTATCATTTACACAGTGAACATAAAGCTCCGTATATCTATATATACATACAACTCCTTATCATATTGTCCAGACATCTGAAAGCTTTGCAGGATTTTACTCCGATGTGCAATGGTAGTGTATATGTCGGTGAACAGACAACTTTAGCTATTGTGTGCGGTTAATGGGGAGGAATATAGGCAGTGGGATTAACCCCTCGTCCCCCACCCCGAATCCCCTGGCTGTTACCACAACTAGTCCTACTCCCCAACTCTTCATCCAAGTGGTGCCTCTCCCTGCACTTACCAAAACTAGTCCCATCCCCACGCTTTTACCCCAACTTGGAGAACTACCCCACACTAAACCCATGTAGTTCCACTTCCCCGCTCTTAGCCCAAATAGTCCTACTTCAACCAATCATTTTAGCGATGCAGTAGGGCGAAGAGGAGGGTATTGAGACGTACATTGAAGGAGGCAAGGGATGGAATGAGGCGAAGGGAATATGACGGTTTCCAAAGGTGGGGGAAGAAAAGAGAATGGATTTGGTATTTCTTTGACTCCCGGTACATTATTGTAAACTTGGACAGCTCTGTCAGTAAACAAAACGCACTGTAAGTTGTCAGACTGGTTGGATATACATTTCTGGGAATCGCCGCTCCCTGTGGTAAGAGTCAAATTTCAGAAGTTTTTCAGAGCACAAACAGCCCGAGAGCTGCAGCTTTCCTGTACAGCAGCAGAGAACCCACAGGAGGGAAGAGAAGGGCAAAACAGTAGAAATAGAACCAACAAATGAAAGAAATAAGTAACAGATAAAAAATGAATGCATAGTTTGTCTGAAGTACTCTGTTTAGCGGTGGTTAATAATTATATCAGTTTGTGAGTCCGGCATCACCTGGAGACAAGTTGTTTGCTCATGTGGTAAGTACAGGTCAGCAAGTAAACTTTAGCAGATTCATGTTGGAATAGATGACCATATCACCATACTTTGCTGAATAATTTAATCTTTGCTGCTGGAACCATCTCAGTACTACTGGAGTTTTAAAATCTCTATCAGCGACTTATGCACGCAGTGACTTGTCAGATGGTTGGCGGTGATTTTGAGAGAAACGCCGCTCCCTTTAGTGAGTGTCAGGTTTCAGAAAGGTTTCAGGCGACAAACAGCCTGAGAGCTGCTGTAGGAGGGCCAGGCGACTGGTGCTTCTGAAGGCTGAGAGGCGAGGAGTTAGAATATATATTCATGGGCGGTGGGTAAGGGTGTTGGGGTGGACAGACCATCGAAGCAGCCCTCTGTAACGGTCTCAAGTCTGGTTTCTGAGCTGGTGGTTGTGTATTATTCCAGGGCACTGCTAATGACAGCCCAGCCTGGCTCATCAGCAACTCTTGGAAGTGCAGAACAGTGTAAGAGATTGGGGTCAGACGATACGGTGTAATAATCCAGGGTTTATTAATTATTACAAATAGCTTTACTTAATCTTAAAACTGGGACCATAGATACAGTAGAATCGAAATCGATTCCATTGGGAAGTGTGCTGACCCCCCACGGCAACTCCACAACTATTTCAAAGTTAGATTTTTTTTAATAGGTTTCCAACTCCAACTCCGCTCATCACAGAGACAACATCCATCCATCACAGGCTGCCAGCGATCTTTGAGGAGGCTCTTTTTGCTTGCGAAAATAACTAATAAGGAGAAAGTAATATGGACGTTTATTGGGATGATTTTGCCATCTCCCTGTTCCCTCAGTCTATAGATAACCAGATGTCTACGAGTGTTTTTCCACCTCTGTTTTCACATTTGTGCTCAAGGCCAAGATTCTTGAAATCTTAGATGGGACGATGACATTAACCCGAGGAACCAAAGGAGGTAACGTTATCAGAATCTGACATGTAGTGTAACCCAACAACAACAACTTGCGATGAGAAGCCGTCCGGCGTGGAGGGCGCTATATAAATCCAAGTTGTTGCTGTTGCATTGATGTAAAGCTCTCCACGGAGGGTGTTGGCTTAGAGGGCTTAAAATTGGGGGAGCCTCACGCCGGGCTGTGTGTGAACCAGCAGCATCAAAACAGCCTGTTCCTCTCTCAATTGCTCCCTCTCACTCCCTCTCTCCCACACAGACTCTATCTATCCCCTCTCAAACTCTCTCTCAATCACCCGCTCTCAATCTGATTCTCTCCCCTTCCACCTTTCTCCCACACTCTCTAAATCTCTCTCACTTACTCTATCTCAGTCCCACTTTCTTACCTCTGTGACACACATATGTCCTCTCTCTCTCCACCTCCTGCTCTCGCTCCTCTCCCCCCTGTAAAACCTCTCTCACACTCTCCCCACACGAACTCCACTCTACCCCTCCTATCTCTATCCTCTAATCACCCGCTCTCTGACCCTCCATCCCCCTATATCTCCTACCTAAATATCTCAAGGTTAGCCTTTTACAACAGCTAGAGAATTATATGTTTAAAGCACCTTTCACTTTAGGAGGATGTCCCAAGGCGCTGGACAGTTTGTGTGACTAAGTTAATAATCGTTGGTTTATTAAACAAAAGTGTTGGTCATATCCATCCAAGTCTATTAGATGAGAATAAGGGAGGATTATATTGGCTGTGATGAGAAACCAAGTGTTAGATTGGTATTAATGATAGAGGGTAGGACTGCCTGCCAGAAACGGGAGAGAATTGGCTTGACTGACTGTGATGAGAGAAAGAGCGAGGGTTAGACTGGCTCATATGTGGGAGAAACAAGGGTTGGACTGGCTTTTATGAGTGAGAAGGTTTGACTGGCGTGAAGGTGAGAGAGAAGGGATGAGAGAAATAAACAGAGACAGTGAGTGAGAAATCAGAGACAGAGTGTGAAAGAGTGTGATTGAGTTTATGGGAGTGATAGGCCTGAGAAGTGTGTGTGTGAGAGAGTGTGGCTGTGACACAAAGAAATAGATTGATGGAGTGAGGGAGGGAGCGAGAGGCAGAAAGCAGATAATGAGTGAATGATTGAGAGTGTGAGGGAGTGTGTGATAGAGGGGTGGAGACCGGGAAAAAGTGATTGAGAGAAATTGAGAGAAGATAGTGCATGTGCATGAGAGTGTGAATAAGAAATGAGAGCCAGACTGGGGGGGGACAGAGTGGTTCAAGGACAGGGTGCAGAGAGATGATAGAGAGAGTGTGGTGTGAGAGAAAGAAAAAGAGACAGGGAGGGAGAGAGAGGGAGAATGCAGAGACAGAGAGTGAAAGAGATCGATTGAGAGTACGGGAGGAGATAATGTGTGTTAAAGAGAGGAGGGTGAAGAGGGGGAGTGATAGGGGCAACAGCGTGTGAGAGGGTGAGCTGGCGAATGTGGGAGAAAGGGGAGTGAGAGAGAGTAACTGAGAGAGGGAGACTGTGGGTGAGAGAGATGGAGAAGTGAAAGCCAGTGATGGAGAATGGAGAGGGAGCGAGTGAGAGAAGAAAGAAAGAAATTGAGAAAGAACATACACAATATTTAACACAATGTATGGAAAGGGCGTCTCCAATATCTTTTTCTCTTCCTTTCCGGTTTAGTTTTTCGAAAAAAACGCTGAAGTCAAACTCTTGTAGCACAACCACAAACAAAGAACCGTCGAGATTCGCAGCACAGAAGCGGGTTATTCGGCTTATCGTGGCTGTGGTGGCACTTCTTATCGCAATCGTTATTATTATAAGTGAAGATTCCCATCAAGATCTCATTCATTTTTCCCAAATCCCTTTTTAGATAGTTCACTCCTTTTAGATTGGTATCCAGGTATATTTTGCCACCACTCTGGATTCCGCAACAAACACCATTCCCGTTACTATGGTTTTGCAGTTAGTGAAAGTGTGCTGCTATTAAACAAACCTACACCGAGTAATCAAGAAAGAGTCTAAATGTAATTTGTTTCATTACTTTAACTAACCATCGTGACATTGTACAAAGGAGAAATGGAATCCAAAATCTATTTGTGAACTTGACTATTCCGAAATATAGTTGATCTGAGATGAGCGCTTGTGTGAAGTATTCGCACCAGCGAGGTGACCGGGGCCGAATGGCCTGTTCCTGAGCTTGTTTAATCCTCGCTCGTAGCTCATTCCTCTAACACTGGCCAGCATTCCGGAGAGAGGGAGTTCATTGCATTTCAACGATCTATCTCTGGGTTTCCCATATGTAGGTGGGAGGCATGGAAATCTTATCTTTGTTTGGATACTGTTCGGTTTGGTGATGGGCTTTTGGGCGTGTCAGACACTCGGCTGACAAAAATAAAATCAGCTCAGCAATCACCCTGCTCTTTATGTTCTCCGAGACGCTGCCTGCGTGAAGGGCGCTATATTGTTGATATTGTTCTTTGTATTCTCTGATACGGCTTTTTGTGGCTGAAGCTCCTCAGCTTATCGATAATTCATTCCTCTATCTTAGGCTTTTAGTCTAGTGTGAACCTGGAGATGGTGTGGAGAGGCTGGATCTATTTGAATGATGCTCACTAGCTTTCACCATGTTGGAAAGAAGATGTAATGCTCAACCTTCATCTTTCTGACTGAATGTCACAATTCTCTTTGAATTTCCCCATAAGTGGAAATTATTTTTCTTAAGATGGCTCTCATTGTTATTGAGTTTTAAGCAGCTGAACGCAACTCACCTGAACTTCCTGGTCGCAAGTCCGGAGCGCAACCAGCAGTTGCATTACCGGGAAATATCCATAAAGGTCAACATTGCATATTAGCGTTGATAACGTTTCACTGACTGTTACACACATGAGGTTCAAAGAGCAGGAACAGGAGATCAGACACAGAGCACAGAGAATATGCTGCATTGGGCAGGTGGCTGAAATGAAACAAAGGGAACGTTGAAGTGGGAGAAAGCAATGTCACACTGGTGCTACTCTGATGATCGATGTGAAGCCCCGAGATTGTGGAAGAGAAAATCACACTCACACTGTAACAGACTGAACAGTTTCTGTAGGGGACGTTTGATATTGCCACTGCCTGAAATGGACAAGTTTAACATTGGACAGTAAATTTTTTTTTGTATCAGGATTGACCCATAGCTGTCCATCCTAACCCACATATGGCCACTGACCAGGACCGCCTACCTCCACATCCGTCATATTACCCACCTCTGACGAACATTATCCCAGATGAAACAGTAGTCCATGCGTTCGAGACCTCCTTCCTCCAGTATTGAAATGGCCTATTCGTTGGTCTCTCCATCTCCACTATCCCCAAGATGCAGCCGATCCCAAACTCTGTCGCCCGCATACTCACACACTCAAATCTGAGTAGCCCCATCACACAAGTTCTCGTCTAACTCAACTGGCTGCCTGTCACCGAATGGATCAATTTAAATTTGATGCCACTAAGAAAATGATCTGAGATACCATCGCAGGAGTTATTTTGGTTGGTCATTCATGCTCCCAGTTAGCTGTAGATGTGGCAGTGTGTAGAAACCCGGTTGTAAGTCGATTGGTGAATCACTATTCCAGAGATAATAATCCCTTAAAACGAAAAATTGGACACGCAATCCATGACTGTTTGAGGGACACCACTGTGCGCAATCGGCATCAACGTTTTGCCGACAGAATATATTTAATTCACTTCACAGCATATTCTGTAAAGCGCTTTGAGACCTCAACCAAATGATTGGCACATCAAAAAATGCATTGATTATTATTGTTATCATTGTCCACTGATAAATTGGACAGCATTTACCTGTTGTTACTGATGTTCAGAAAGCTGTATCAGGTTGTACCTCATTACTATCTGTTTCATTTTATAGGTGATCTGTGGAGAGTTTCCGATTATCTGCAATCACCATGGCCCAGGCTCCCAATCCTAACCCACCACTGACAGACCACAAAGAAAACCAAAGTGAGGCAGGCAAGTTGAGAAAATCCGCTCACATTTGCACAGTCAATGAAGCTGTCACCTTTTATAACGCAATTAACTTAGCGTTATCTAAGACGGCATGTTTTCGAAACGTGATGTGGAGTTTCAACGCACAACTTTGTGACTGAGATTCGCGTGCGCTGCTCCTGAGCCAGATTGAGACATACTGATCAATCATGAAATGTATTTAACATGTGAATGTACAATATGGTATGAAATTAGTTTTATTATCAGTCTTGTGGCCAACAGGTTCAAGGGTCACATTCTATGAGACTCTCGCCCTGTACGACGGATACGAGCTGTTCAGACTCACTAAGTTCTACCGGGACAGAATAGAACAAGCAATCGAGGAAGATGTGGAGACCGTCAGCTCAGTACTGACAAGAAAGGAATATTTCAGCCAAGTGGAATATCAAGTAGGTAGTCAGATGGGAAGAGTTTATCTGATTTCCATAAGTTAATCCTGTGTGATACATGTGTGTTTATTGTGCAAAGTGTATCCATTCACCCACAAATAAACAGTCAATTCACTTTACAGTGTGTTCTGTGAAGCGTTTTGGGACGTCCTCCCGACATGAAAAGCGCTATAACAAATGCAAGGATTATTATTATTAGTATTATCATTATTATTATTATTATTATCATTCAACATGTTGCAATACATCACAGTTTTCATTGTTATGGCATCTTTCAACTGGGTAGACATCTCAAGGTGCTTTATAATGATGGCTCGGCAACCGAGCTGGGTTTGCAATTAGAGAGGATGGGGAGGAGGTAAAGACAAAGAGCACATGGTTAAACAGGAGTGTTTGAGCATGGGAAGTGAGGGGGGCGATTCCGACTGACACTGGAGTGGAGGAAGGGGGCTGGGGTGCTGCGGTTTGATGCAATAAATGTTAAGCATCTCCATGCATCGCTGCTTCACATTTGTTGCTTTGGTCATTGACCCGATGGTGCTGTGGCTAAACATCCAGCTTACTGTTTGTGACAGGAGGGTGAGGAGAGGTCAAGATGGGCTGTGATGCTCTCGACAGTAAACTCACTGCCAAGTCTCACATGTGAACAATGACCATTTGGCTGGGGTAACAGAGGGCAACTGTGCCTGTGGAACCTCACCCAACATGAAAACACCATGATGGAACTGGCCATTTCCTGATCACAAGCTTTGCTCACGTTTCACTCCTTTGTTTTTAATGCTCACTCTGCAGAAACTGACTGAGCTCACACACAGTGGGCAGAGGAGACAAAGCTCTAAACTTCTTCTGAACATGGCGCTGGGGAAAGGTTCGCGAGCCCAAAGAGTGATGTGGGAAACCTTTGTTGAAATAAGGTACACTTTGCCCAAACTGAACAAAATAATGACTGAAATACAGGAGCAAGGTACAATATACATTTACAGTGAATCCATTCCCAAATCAATTACATATTTTACTGAGGCAACCTAGATAACTAATTCACTATAACTAATGGAATGTCCTCGATACCAACAGGTGCCAGTCTATTAAACCAGGTGATTATTGTCCAAAGTGTACCAGATGTACCCAGCACACTTAAAGGTATGTGACCATTTTAAGGTGTAACCAATGGATTCATTTCTGAAATGCAGAGTTTGAATGTTTGCCGTTTTCTCTGAGATTTACAGGAACTACAAATAATCTGGCAGTTAAATGGGAGGGGCATTAGTTTGATAATATTGATCTCCTCCTGGTCGCCCTCTCCAGCTTTACCACCTACAAGTTTGCAACTCATCCAAATCCAGCTGCTCCCAACCCTACATGCATTAAGATTCACATGACCATTATCTTCATCCACAACAAAATTCACATTCATCCTAACTACGGCGGATTGGCTTGAATGCTCAGTCTCCCCTTCATATCCTGATTCCTTCTTATTCTTTTCTACATCTGTGACTTTCTCCAACCTCCTTCTTCTGCGCAACTCCACCGTTCCACAATCTGTAACTTTCACTTTATTAAAAGCTCTTCTGAAGTCTATCTATGTGACTGCGCCTCCACACACTTACAGCAACTTCCAAACAGGAAACTCACACACTGTTGAGAAGCTGTCGAAAGGCAGACATTCTTGGTGCTTCTAACCCCAATGTGATTCTCTAATTGAAGATGCTCAGCGAAAGCACAAGGAGATGTTACTAAAACAAAGTGAGATACTGGTAGTGAAGACCATCCTGATAAAGGAGAAGGTGAAGCAGTTTCAGTTGGTTGATCGCTACACGGAGCTGACAATTATTTCTGATGTACGTGACCGGGAACTGGTAGAACATGAGCTGCTGGCGAGAGGCAGAGACCACGAGGAGTGGAGACAGAAGCAACTCCGGGGAGAGCTGGAAAAAATCCGAATTGATAAACTATTCCACAGCAGCTTCTCCAGAGGAAGTTTATTTTACCGGATGAAAAAATTCTACAAGAGAAGCGGATCAGGCACTTTCACAGGGAATTCCGCAGTAGTGAGTGGAGTGGCTGGGATTGGAAAAACAACTATGGTGCAAAAGATTGTCCATGACTGGGCCACAGGCAAAATCTATCCTCACTTCCACTTTGTGTTTTTTAAATTCGAGACCTAAACAGACTTCACGACAGACAACCTGAGCCGTCTGATCGTGGAGCAGTATCCTTACCTCAGGAATGTTCTGGACGAGCTGTGGAAACAACCAGAGAGATTGCTCTTTATATTTGATGGTTTGGATGAATTCAGGGCAAGGATTGATTTCGCTGACAGTCGGAGAGACACAGAGCCTCAGCGCAGGTGCACAGACCCTGAATTCCTCTGTGATCTGTCTGACATTGTGTACAGTTTAATGCAGAAAAAGCTGCTGCCAGGCTGCTCAGTGCTGGTGACCAGCCGCCCCACTGCATTACATTTACTGGCAAAGGCTCGGGTCAGTGTCTGGGCTGAAATCCTGGGATTTGTTGGTGAAGAGAGGAGGGAATATTTTCACAAGTTCTTTGAAGATCAGGAGTTGGCGGCTGCTGTTTACAGCCACGTGGAGGAGAACGAGCTCCTGTTCACCATGTGTTACAACCCGTCCTACTGCTGGATCCTCGCTCTGTCTGTGGGTCCCTTCTTTACACGGAAACTCAGCAACAAACAGCGAGTTCCCAAGACAGTCACACAACTCTTCTCCTATTATATTTATAACATATTATCACATCACAGTGTCAAGATGGAAAGCCCCCGTGATGTGATGCTGAAGATTGGTGAGATGGCCTTCACTGGAGTCTCCCAGAGAAACATTGTCTTTAATGATGAAGATCTGTTCAAATATAACCTCCAGCCTTCGCAGTTCCTCTCTGGTTTTCTCATGGAACTTGTGGAGAGAGAGTCTTCAGAGCACAGCGTAGTCTACACATTCCCGCACCTCACCATCCAGGAGTTTGTAGCCGCACTCGCTCAGTTGCTGACTCCGAATCCAGAAAGTATTCAGGATTGCTTCTATCAAGCTCACAGTAAAGAGGACGGCCGGTTTGAGATATTCCTGCGCTTTGTTGCTGGTCTCTCCTCCCCACGGGCAGCTCAGCCACTGGAGGAGTTTCTGGGCCCATTTGTCCATCAGACAACCTGCGCGGTGATCGATTGGCTGAAGGAGAAGGTTAAAACTCAGATCAGAGACACAGACACCGTGAATGCGAAAAGGAAGCTGCTGAACACACTCCACTACCTGTTTGAGTCTCAGAATCAAGCCCTGGCACAGCTCACACTGGGCTCTGACCACACACTGACATTTGGTGACTCCTCTCCAGAGAAAGCATTGACACTGACACCGATAGACTGTGTTGTGGTGTCTCAAGTCATTGGACTGTGTGACACAATAAAAGAACTGAATCTGACGAACTGCTACAGTCGGGAGGAGGGTCTCCAGCGTCTGGTTGCTGCTCTGCACAAGTGTCAAAAGTTGCTGTAAGTTACTCTATTTGTAAATCTTATTCATATTATTCTTATTTCAAAGCCATTCTCCAGGACTTTAATGGCATTAAACACCAGCTGATCAATGGGAGAATGGTATGACACAGTTGGAGGGAACAGTAGGTCACAGTGTGATGGCCGTCACACACCACAGTCCTGTCCTGGGGGATTGGGATGTGAATGGCTGACATTCCACTGCACGCATGACTGCTCCACACCCTGAGCCCTTCGGTGGCATTCCCAGGTTGCTGATGTTATTGGGATTGGTTCCTGACTCCCGACTGGGATGCTCACTTTATTGAATAAATTGTAACTTGATCCCAGGTCAGACAGACCAGAGCTTACGTTCAGAGGCGCCATTCGGTGTTTCACGGTTATTCATACAGGAGATGGTTGTCCTGACCACAGAGTCTCTGACACACAGACACCCTTTTAACCTTTAAGACTCTGAGCTTCCCACCAGCTCAGGACCCAGGGCTCACTCTCCTGAACCGTGTGATTCGGCCGGAGAATTCCTGTGTCCTCTCCTCCTGGCGGCAGCTCCTCCCTCAGTGCTGTATTCCAGGATAAAAACACCTCCCGAGGGCTTGGCCATCCCATTTATCCAGAGGCTGACACACCCTCTCTCCAGTACAATGGTATAACACTGATACAATATAATTCACCCCAAACACATCTCCCTCAGCCTGACATCAGTCTGACAGGTGTGGGCTCCCCTGGCCCTGGTGAAGAGTCTCCATTTCTAGCTCCTGAGATCTCACAGCCACAGGGATTCTCTTTCCCAGGTCTGGGGTTCACAGTGTTCGGATAAGGAGAGGATAGAGAGATTCACTGCCCAGAACCTGGAGATTGTAGGCCGGGCTTCCAGAAGCCAAGACATTAGCCTCACTCACACACTGACTGAGGGTTACAGTGCTGTTGGAATAGACTCAGCGTAAACTGTGCTGCTGCCAGGACCAGGCACTGGGGAGATCCCACTCTCTGTAGCTCCAGCAGCCCAGAATGTTAAGGCGTCTTGACCAGATAAGGTGCTGTAACAAATGCAAGGCTTACTATTATGATTATTGTTATCTGATACTGTCTCTTACACCAGCTGCACTTTGTCTCCATGAACAGTTGTGTTTCTCTGTCTCTCCCACAAAATACAGATTCGCTACACACACATATATATTCTTGCTCAGTCTCTCCCCATCCTTCTTTCTCTCTCTCTGTCTCTCCCACAAAATACACTGGATATATATCTCTCACTGCCTTTTTCTCCCTATCGCTGTCAGTCTTTCTCCTCATCTCTCTCTCGCTCTCTCTCATTCTCACTTTCTGTCTCTTGCTTTCACTCTCAGTCTCTCTCTCAATCTCAATCACTCGCTGCTTCTTCCGTTGAGTCTTTCTCTCACTCTTTCCCACAAAACACAGTCATTACACTTTTTAATAAATTCGCTGTGTGTGTGTGTCTCTCTTGCTCTGTCACGCACACACACAGGCTCTTTGCTTCTCTCTCTCTGTCTGCCTCTCTCTCTTTCTCTGTCAGTCTCTTTGTCTCCTCCTCTCTAAGAGAGAGAGAAAAAGCCTCCTACCATACACTTAATAATGTATTCTCCCTCTGAGTCTCCCTTTCTTCACTAACTCTGTCTCATTTTCTATTTCTTTTGCAGTTTTTTTCTCACTCATATTCTCTCTCTTTGTCACTCAGTCACTCTCTCTCTCTGTTTCCTTCTCTCTCTCTCTGTCTCTCAAAGAAAAACACACAGTCACTTTGCATTTGCTTCCCTCTCGCTCATTCTCTGAAAGCACGAGAGACTGAGAGAGAGAATAACTGCAAGAGAGAAAGAGACTGAGAGAGAGAGGGAGAGATTGAGAGAGATAGACTGACAGAGAGAGGGAGGTGGGCAGCAAGAGACACCCAGGGAGGGGGGGGGGGGGGCGAGAAGCACTGAGAGAGAGTGAGTGAGAGACACAGAAAGAGAAAGATAATAAGAGTGCGACTGTGTGACGGAAATTTAGAGCGATATACCGAGAGAGAGCCTGAGTCAGAGGGAAAGGCACTGTGAGAGAGAGACTGAGATAAAAACGGATACTGAGAGAGAGAGAGAAACTGTGAGAGAGAAAGATAAGCGAAGGACAGAAAAAGAGAGTTAGACTGAGAGAGTACTACAAGAGAGAGAAAGAGCCTGGGAGAGATAGAGAGAGAGAAACTGAGAGTGACTGTGGAGAAAATATATTACCAACCGTAGTGACTGTGTGTTTTGTGGGAAAGACAGTGGGACAGAGACTGGGAGAGAAAGACTGAGAGGAAGACAGAGAGAAAGAGACTGATAGAGAGACAAAGAAATAAACAGACTGAGAGAAAGGGGTAGAGACTGTGAGAGGAAATATAATTTGTAGTGACTGTGTGTTTGTGGGAGAGATTCAACGAGAGACTGTGAAAGATGCTGAGAGAGATTGAGCGAGAGGCTGAATGAGAGAAAGACAGCGACAGATGGAGAGCGAGACTAAGAGTTGGAGAAAGAGACACTGACTCAGGGAGCGAGAGAAAGAGAGAGAGACAGACTGGGAGAGATACTGAAAGAGAGAGAGATAGAAAATGAGAGAGCGATAGACTGATAGGCAGAGAGAGAGAGGCAGAAAGAGCTACTGAGAGATAAACAGTGAAGCAGTGAGAGAGGGAGAACAAAAGACACAGAGCGAGAGACTTAAAGAGAGAATGGACAGATTGGACAGATAGAGAGATAATGTGAGTGAGAGCTTGGTAGAGAGAGAATAGGAGAGAAAGGTAGATACTGAGAAAGAAACTGAAGCAGAAAGAGAAAGCGGAAGAGAGAAAGAAAGACTGAGACAGAGGGACTATGAGAGAGAACAAAATTGGGATAAACAGAGAGAGGGACTGAGAGCGACTGTGGAGAAAATATATTAAAACCTGTGGTGACTGTGTGTTTTGCGTAAAAGATAGAAAGAGAGACGGAGAAAGAAAGAGACTGAGAGACACTGTAAGATAGAGACAGAGAAAGTGAGAGACTGAGATCGAAAGATTGTAAGAGAGACTAAGAGAAAGAGACTGATAGAGAGACTGAGAGAGAGACACAATGAGAGACAGAGGTGAGACAGAGACTGAGAGAGTGAGAATGAGAGAGAGTGACTGAGAGAGAGAATGACAGATACAGAAAGAGAGAGAGAGAGAGAGAGAGAGAGACTATGAGAGGAAATATAACATAATGAATGTGTTTTCTGGGAGAGACATAGCGAGAGACTGTGGGAGAGACTGAAGGGGAGACCGAATGAGGGAAAGACAGAGCGATAGTCTGAGACTGAGAGAATGATGGGTGGTGGGGGTGGGGGGGAGGGGGGAATAGACAGACAGAGAGAGACACAGACAGAGAAACAGATAAAAAGAGCGAGAGATACAGACAGATAGAAAGAGAGAGACAGATACACAGAGAGAGACACAGACAGACACAGACAGAGAGAGAGTGAGAGAGATAGTGAGACAGAGTGAGAGACAGACCGACAGACAGATAGACAGAGTATCAGAGTGACATACAGACAGACAGTCACGCACCGACAGACAGGCAGACAGGCAGGAAGAGTGACAGACAGACAGAGAGACAGACGGACGGAAAGAGTGAGAGATTCAGAGAGACTCTGAAAGAGACTGAGATAGCGACTGAATGAGAGAAAGACACAGCGAGAGACAGAGCGAGATTGAGTGTGAGAGAGGGAAAGACACTGTGACAGAGAATATATTGTGTATTGTAGTGACAGTATGTTTTGGGGGTGAGACAGAGACTGAGAGAGTGAGAATGAGAGAGAGTGACTGAGAGAGAATGACAGATACAGAAAGAGAGAGATGGAGAGAGAGTCAGAAAGAGAGATTGAGAGGGACTGAGAGAGAGCGTCTTCATGAGAGAAAGATAGAGCGAGAGGCAGAGAGACTGTGTGAGAGGGAGAGAAAGTGAAAGCCAAAGAGAAAAAAAGGATTAGGATGAGGTAGACACAATGGCTGTGAGACAGAGACTGAGGGAGGAAATGTACTATAAAGTGTAGAGTCTGTTTGTTTTGTGGACAAGACTGAGAGAGAAACTAAAACAAAGAGATTGAGAGAGATTAAGAGAGAGAGAGAGAGAGAGAGAGGCTGAGAGAAAGAGAGAGATAGAATGTAAGAGGAAATATAACGTATAGTACTCTGTGTTTTCTGAGAGACACAGAGAGAGATAGACTGAGAAAGACTGAGACAAAAATATATTATATGGTGCAGTGACTGTTTTGTGGGAGAGACAATGAGAAAATGTGAGAGTGTCTGTCAGACAGACGGGGACTGAGAGTGTAAGAGGCTGACAAAGAGAGAGACAGAGTCAGAAAGAGAGAATGAGAGCGACAGAGCGAGAGACAGAGAGAGATTAAGAGAGCAAAACAGAGTTAGAGATGAGGAGAGAGGCTCAGAGAGAAATGGAGTGAGAGACTGGGAGAGAAACGGAGAGCGACAGACAGACTGAGAGAGAGGGTGAGTGTGAACATATTATAAAGTGTAGTTCTTTCTTCTTGTGAGACAGAGAGAGACTGAGAGAGACTGGCAGAAAAAGAAAGAGATAAAGAGAATGAGTTAGAGAAAGAGAGACTGAGAGAGAGAGACGCTCAGATGGAGAGAGAGAGATAATATGAAAGTGACTGTGAAAGAAAAAATATTATAAAGTGTAATTACTGTGTTCTGTAGGAGAGACAGAGAGAAAGAACCAGAGAGGGAGACTGAGTTAGAGAGAGAGACTGAGAGAGACTGAGAGGCAGAGAGAGAGACTGAGACTGAGAGGCAGAGAGAGAGAGAGACTCTGAGTTAGATAGAGAGAGACTGAGTTAGAGATAAAGGGAGACTGAGAGAGAAAGAGAGAGAGAGCGACTCAGAGCGAGAGACTGAGAGGAAGAGAGACTGAGAAAGACTGAAAATATATTATAAAGTGCAGTGCTTGTGTTTCATGGGAGAGATAGAAAGACTGACTTACAGTCGTGGAGTCCTGTAGCTCAGTGGTTAGAGCGCTCGCTTTGCAAGTGAGAGACCTGAGTTCAATTCCAGGCACAGGGCGAAACCTTGGGCAAGTTTCCTTACTCCACACGGAGCCTAATAAGAATCCCTCAAAAAAAAACTCAATAAAAAATTGGTCATTTTCAATCTACAACTGTTTGTGGGATTGATGTGCGCAATTGGCTGCCGCGTTCGCCCACAAATATACAGTCAATTCACTTTACAGTATATTTAGTTAAGCGCTTTGGGACGTCCTCCCGGCGTGAAAAGCGCTATATCAAATGCAAGGATTATTATTACTATTATTACAGAGAAAAATCGAGAAAGAGTGACTGAGAGAGAGAGAGATTGGGAGAGATTATGAGAGAAAATATATTACAAAGTGTAGCGACTGTGTTTTGTGGAGGGTGAGATACAGAGAGTGAGACAATGAGAGATACAGAGCGGGAGAGAGAGTCAGTGAGCGACTGAGAGACAGAATGGGATAGACTAAAAATGAGAGAGTGACTACGATAGAGATAGAGAGAGAGAGAGAGCACAACAGAAAGTAAAACTGAGAGACCGACAGTGAGAAAATCTGAGAGAGAGAGAGACAGTGAGAGAAAATATTTTAAAGTGTATTGACTGTGATTTGTTGGAGTAACGGAGAAAGACTGGGAGCGAGAGAGAGCGCGCGCGAGAGAGAGGGAGAGAAAGGGAGAAACCGCGGGAGAGACGGAGAAAGAGATTCTGAGAGAGACTGAGAAAGCGATAGACAGAGTGGGAGAGAGACTGAGCGACAGCCTCACAGAGCCCGAGAGAAAGAGAGAGCGAGCGAGAGTCTTGCTGTGAGAGAGAGATTGAGAGAAAGAGAGACTGAGAGGGAGAGAAACAGACTGTGTAGAACATATATTATCAAGTGCAGTGACTTTGAATTATGTGGGAAAGACAGTGAGATACGGTGAATGAGAG